TGTCTGAGCAGCTCACAGCCAAGGGAGCCCGTCTGCATTTCTTGGCAAGAGACCTTGTCAAGGCTGGAAAATATAAGTTCTGCTGGACCGCTTATGGTCGGGTTTACGTACGAAGAGCTGAAAATACCCCGATTATAACTATCACATCGGAGGCTCAGGTGCATCAGCTAGTGATTGATGAATGACGGTGTTTTTTTCAGTGTTTTGAATTGTTGTGTTGTGCCCTGCGGAGTCTCAGGTATTTGATTATGTTGCTTTATAACTACTCAATTACTTACCTCTTTTATAAAATGTTCACACAGTATCTTTGCACTTGTATAGAAATGCCATTAGCTTGTTGCTGTGTTACATTTTTTATTGATAAAGTGGATGTGTTTTTATATCATGGTTTGTTAGTTGAATGTTACTCAGGAATAACTTCTTACAAATATAAACTTACCAATGTCAAAGTCAAAGTCAAAAGTCAAAAAAATATTTTACTTAAGAGATGGTACATGGAAACCATACTGTAATAACTCACTGCTAATGTCAAGTTACAATTTATTAAATATACTATTACTTCTCCTTTGTTATAATGTGTTAAAGAATTTAAAAACACTTATCTTTTGTCTTTATGTTGAGTTAGTATTATTATTTTGTAATATTCTAAACATGAAAAATCAATATTTCTCTTTACCTAGGAATTTTTGTGTAATATATGGTGATGTCCACCTTTGTTACTGTATTATAGTGGTAACATTAGTTACAATAATTAATGTTCTAATTAGTAAACAGAATTTAATCATCTTAAATTATTTGTATATACTGATCTTATTTACAAAGATAGGTATCTATCCAAGATATCATGCATCACCTGTGCATTCAAATTACCTTATGCATCGAATTAACGTCACTTACACTATATGTACTTTAATTATAACAATTCCTTATTTAAAAATTGTTACATTTAAACCATGTCTCTATAAACATCCTAAGTTAATTTACATTTTTCTAAATAAACAAATGTTTCTAAATTGTTGTTATGTGGTAATACAACGTGAATTGAGTTTTTTTGTCTTTGTGTGGAATTCTTAGTTTTATTTTATAAAGCTATAAACATGACTACTCATAATACTTGTTCACTCAAGCATCTTTTTGTAGTGTATAGGTATAGTGTAAAGTGCCTTTTTTACTATATTAATATGTTCACAATATTAATATTGGTGACAACAGCCAAAGACCTACTAAGTAAACAGTATTTAACTGTCTTTACTGAGAACATTTTGATTTTATTTACTAAAGTGTGTAACTGTCTTATTAACTCATCACATGGTCATATCCAATATCTCATATATCAACTAAATATCATTAACAGTTTGTCCAGTCTTTTCTTAATGAGTTTTTAATGTCTGACACTCTAAATATACTAAATGACCTAGATGAGTCTAGTGTTGCCGATGTATCGGTCTGTGATATTGAGAATTTACAAAAAATTATAAAAATTGATAATAATGACCTTACTCTAATAGCACAAAACATCAGAAGCATTTACCGTAATTATGATAATTTATTACTTTCACTAACCCAACTGAAATTTAATCCCGATTTTGTTATTTTGACTGAGTGCTGGAATAACGTGAATAAACCTATTCCTGGCCTGCCAAATTATACTACTCATCCCAGTACCCGCTACCTTAACCAGAATGACGGGGTGATTGCCTATGTTAAAGACAACATCACAGTTAATGTAGTAGAAGCTTTTTTGGAAGACGCTTCATGTCTGCAAATTGAATGTCCTAATTTTATAATACTAGCGATATACAGATCACCATCATATGTTAGTGCTGATAAATTCATCTGTTCCTTAAATGATCATCTTAATTTAATTAAAAACCATAAATGCATTTTACTGGCGGGTGACATTAACATCAACCTCATACATGATCCAGGTGAAACGAGCTACACGAGGAAAAATAGGCTTGACTATCTTAGTATGTTAAGTTCCCATGGTATTTTGCAGGGTCACTGCCTCCCCACTAGAAACAGTAGTTGTCTGGATCACATTATGCTTAAGTTGGTCAGAAACAGGTCACTTGCTAGGGTTACCATATTGAACACTTCTATTACTGATCACTGTATGACCTTTTTACATCTTAAAAATTTAAATGTAAAATCTAATGCTCGTAAAATTGCATCTGTCACTGACTATGACGGAGCTTTGTTTAGTTTGAACAACATGAAACTATTAGAAATTCTGCATCTTGATGACCCTGATATTATAGCTGAAACTTTGATCACAAAAATTACACAGGCTTTAAAAGAAAATACCACTTTAAAAGTTATACCAAAAAGTCAACGAATCAGCAAGCCTTGGATGACACCTGGTATATTGCGCTGCATTAGAAATAGGAATAATATGCAGAAGAAGCTCCGATCTAATCCCAATGATAGTGTTCTTGCAGTCACCTATAGGCGGTATCGTAATTTTTGTAAAAAGTTAATTAGAAAATTAAAATATAATTATGAAAAACAGCTTTTAGAAAAATCAATAAATAATTCTAAATGTCTTTGGCGAAATATTAGGAGCATCACTCACACCAATAGACAACAATGACAGTAGTAAACTTTTGAATGTTAAGTCAACTCCGGATGAGTCAGTTGATCATGTTAACAGGTTCTTTGCAGGTGTAGGTAGGGAACTGTCTAGTGATATTAATCCATTGAGTAGCACACAAGCTTTATCTTTATCCCGTTTTTCGTACGAACAACAACTTACATCTTTTGTTCTAATGGACACTGACCCGCAAGAAGTGCACGCAGTTCTCATGAGTCTTAAATCTGAAAGTGCCGCAGGATGGGACCAGATTCCTGTTAGTTTTCTGAAACTTGCCAGCACCATTTTAGTTCCTCTTATCTCCCACATGGCAAATATCTGCTTTAGGCATGGTAGATTCCCTAAGCTGTTAAATCTTGCGGTTGTCACACCAGTTCATAAGAGTGGGAGCAGAGCCGATGCAAACAACTACAGGCCTATCTCTGTACTGCCTTCATTGTCCAAAATTTTGGAAAAATTAATTAATAGGAGACTTGTTGACTATCTTAATAAGTACAGTATTATATCAAATTCGCAATATGGTTTTCAGTCCAGTAAATCAACTCAGGATGCGGTAATGGCTCTTACATCTTTGATTGTTAACCAGTTGGACAGTGGAGGCAAATGTCTTGCGATATTTCTTGATATCAAAAAGGCGTTTGACACCGTCTCTGTTCCCATTCTTATGCAGAAGTTGGAATATGCTGGCATCAGAGGTACACCACTGAGCTTATTCAGGGACTATCTTGATGACAGGCGACAACGGGTGAAGATAGGTCAGTTCATTAGTGATGAGTCAGCATTGCCCTGTGGTGTACCACAGGGCTCAGTCTTAGGTCCTACCTTATTCCTTATTTACATTAATGACCTCTGTGAGATGAAGCTTGGGGGCACAAAGATCTTCTCCTATGCTGATGATACTGCTATGGTTATCACGGGTAGTTCCTGGGATGTTGTAAGAAGGGATGCTGAATCGGCTCTTGCTACTACTGCCCTTTGGCTAAGACATAATCTGTTGACCCTAAACACAACTAAAACTAACTTTATCTGCTATACCATTAATCGAAGAACCCAACCACTTAACTATAGTCTAAAGATTCATAGCTGTGACTATCCTGACTTCAATAGTAATTGTGACTGTCCTGCATTAAATAAACTTACTTGCTGTAAATATCTGGGTATCATGATTGATCAGCATCTCGCATGGCACCATCATTTGGAACTAATCACTGGCAGAGTCAGGAATATGTTATGGATTTTTAATAAACTTAGATATTCTGCTAACGCAGATCTCCTGAACAAGGTTTATATTGCCCTTGTGCAATCTATAATAATTTACTGTATACCAGTTTGGGGTGGTGCATCCAAGGTTAAATTTCTTGAGGTTGAACGGGCACAAAGGTTACTACTCAAAATTATGTATTTTAAAAGACGTTTGTTCTCAACTCAGGCTCTTTACGCTTTGGCTGATGTACTTACTGTTCGTCAACTATTCATTTTACACACTATTTTATATAAACATAGGAAACTACCAGTTGATACCACTATTATGCATAAAAGAAGGTTTGGAAATGTAGCAAAATCAGTAATATGTAAAACCTATTTTGCTAAGCACCAACTTACTAATCAAGCCACACATCTGTACATCATTGTTAATAAATATCTGAATATCCACATGAGGACTACATATGAATGTAAAAGAATTGTAACTAGTTGGCTTAAAACGTTAAATTATGATGACACTGAAGACATTATTGTTAAACCTGATAGATAGATTTGTATTTATATTTAGCTATATTTTGCTCAAGTAAAGTTCCTTATGTTAAATTGAATGTTCCTAAATGTTAAATTCTTTATGTTTATTCAAGTTACTAACGTTAAATTCTAAATTCCTGATGTTAAGTTAGAAGTTCCTATGTAAATTTTAAAAGTTGTACCTACCATTCTTGTTTAAGTTTAATCAAGATCTGTTACAGAACTTAGTCTGTTGAAATAAATGATTAGTATTCAATTCTTGTAGCCCACAAATGTTTAAATTTTATACGTACAAATATAATAAACCTATACATGTTATGGGAGTGTGGCTGCTCCTGGCACAAATGTATTTTACATTTAATAGGGGCATGTCAGCCTCTGACTATTGTTAAAACTCATGCTTAACGAAATAAACATTTTTCATGAAATAAATTTGCTTCATTGATATGTGTAATTGCAGACTCCGCATTCTAAAGGCCAGATTAGGACGTTAGAACTTCCATGTACTTCAAAAGGTAATTTAGAACTTATGTTAGTCTAATGTGTTGCACTCTTATGGTAAGTAGTCTTTTGCTCATGTTCTTGTTTCTAACGATAGGTTATCACGTCATAGATTGATGACAACTATGATAATGATTTATCGTAAACCATGGGTGCTGTATATGAACAAAAGCTACCTTCTGCTCTCCTTGTAATTGGTCCGCCGTCGGCAGCATGGCTTTGCAAATATGCAGAAGGCGATGCGCAGTAGACAGCATGCAAGCCCAGCGATGATGAGGGAGGGGCCCACCAGACGGAGTGCTGGTGTCTTGAAACCCTGAAAATTTTGAAATTAAACAATCACTTTATCAACAGCATCGTAATTTTATTAATAATCACAATAAATACGTCTATTTGGGATATCAGTATTTCATATTTGAGGGAGAATAGGATAGGACTAATAGAATTAGCTGTAGTTATTGTGCATTTGCCGCATAAATGAGGGTCTGCTAGAATGCATTGAGATAGTAGAAGTAGTTCAGCATATTTTAGTGAGCATACACTGGAGCTTATAATTAATAATGTTCAGATAGGTAAAACAGTATTTAACAAATTTAAATGAACCTTTTTAATCCAAAGAAATACTAAATATCGAGGTAATACTCGATCTGGAACTCTATTCTTGTGGAACTTTTGATCCTTTGTTTTGATCTATCTTTTTTTTATGTATTTAGAGATACGTAGAGTAGAATAAAGCATGATATGGACGATATTTCGAAAATTGATTTTCAGAGTACACCCCTGTCAAAAGCGTCATGCACAGCGATGTAACAGTATTAGAGGTTCAATCACATAAAAGGTATAAAAGGTAATTAATTGAACCTCTAATGCTGTGATACAGCTGTTTTTAAGGATGTATTTTTACAGACTAGCAAAGCAATTTTATGGAGTGATAGTTGTCTGAGGTCAAACATTTAATTAATTTTGTATGAAGTGTTACAAATTAATCATTTTATTTCTGATTGGCCTTGGAATCAGATCAAACTGCGCATATAGGGTGCCTGAGCCAATTAAGGCCCGCCATTGAAATTTCATGCTAAAATTTGAATCTCTGTTCAGTCATTACTCAATCATGCATAACATCGATGAATGTGCCGTGTATATAACACGAAATTTAAACGGTGGACCTTATTACAACGTGGACCTCAATTGCTGCAGGTACCTTAGGTGATCATAGTAAATGAATTATACAGCGGTGTTAAAAAATATCAGTGCACAATACAGCTTACATTATATACCTTGTCGCCGGTGCCGACGAAGTATACGACGAGGCCCAGAGCAAGGATCCCAAGGCCGGCGTAAAGAAGACGCGCCACGCCCCACGGCTCTCCTGGAGCACCCTCCGCCTCTCCGTCCGACTCTGATGACGACCCGTATGACGCGTCTCGCACCTGGCAAGTTAATTAACGTTACCATAACTTTCTGCTCAGTCTTCTACATATATCTATGTACTACATATGACATTATATAGGCTTTGTATGTAGGTAGCTATAATATTTGGGATTGTAATTTATAATCACCGATTATTATCGATGATCTGATTTTGTTAACCTTGTTATGATATGTCACTAATTTTATTTAAGAATGCATAATATAATTTTTTGTTGCTGAAATTTACTAAATTATAGGTGGGTAAATAATGCATGTTGGGTTCGTCTGTAATACGGTTGTGTATACAATTGAAAATACAGGTTTGTGATAAATGTTCGAAATATATGAACCAAATAAACTTATAAATATATAACAAAATAAATTTTATTACAATAATTAAGGAGTTTTAAAGGGCTTTTTAATGTTTAGTTTAGTATTTGAGTGATAAGAAATTAAAATAGCGTATAATCTTTACAGTTTATTAATAGAAATAATGAAAAAAATCTGAAAAAACAGTTAAAAACTTATGTTGTTTTAGCAAGGAATAGGTTTAGTGGCATATAATTTAAACAAAACAATCGTAGTAATCATATTTTTTATTGCTTATAATTAAGAATTGCACTTCAAAATAATCTTATTAACATTTTAGATACATTAACTTGTTATTTTTTAATATTTTTATGGTACATAGTCATATTCTCCATCATTCTCATCTGGATTATTTTCAACAATTATTACAGTTGGCCAGCTAAAAATGTTGTTATAAAATGGCATATGCTCTTCCAGAATGCTATCTTCAACTTGTTTTAAATCATCTATTTTTTTTTTTATTGATGGGCACTTTCAAATCATAGGCTTTAGTTGATGGAAGTGAAATAGAAGTTGTTATTTTCTTTATTAATGAGAACGAATGTTTGATCAATCCATCAATATATTCCTCGGCTATGATAGTTCCTTTTCTATCTGAATCATACTGAAAACTCATGTATGTCGAAGGAGCAAATGACTTTTTCTGGTCCTTTGGGACTTTTTTTCCATAAGATTCAGTTGACAAACATGTTTTTTTGTACAAATTTGGCCACCATTTCTTAAATTCTAAAACATCTTCAGTTTTTAGTTCTACGACTGTAAATGTTGAGCTGGAGTTCGAAATCAAATCAATGTATTCTCCTGGGACGTAAATACGATCATGCTTTCGAACATTTTTTTTTATGACTCCAAAATCACGATCATTTGGTAAAAAGGAGTGACCTCGTGTGGGAAAATACTGATAAACTTTTTCAAATCTTTTAGAGTCAGTCAAGGCCAACATAAATCTCAACATTGTATTATTTTTATTTTGACCGGGGCAGCCATCGGAAAAAAGATATAAATACTTAATATTTGGCCCAATATTATTTTTTATATAATGCATCAACATTGAACAAACCTCATTGGCTCCTTTGTTAGCAATACCTTCATGATACATGTAAAATGTCGATTTGCCTGTTTTTAAATCCTTAATACCAAAACAGTGAACCCATAATTGCCGTAAATAAAAAATGTTTTGTATAGGTATGTGTGGCAATGGTAGATTTTGCATAAAATCGAATGTTATCGCTGCAACATCATCTCGTTCTTTACAAAGATCTTGAACTGATGAAACTGAGCTACTACTGAACGTTTTGCATTTTCTGATAAGTTGGATTGTTTTATTTTTGTTGATAGTTCTTCGCAAGTTATACATGTGTCGACTTGTGGTCGACCAAATCTGAGGGAAAAGTTTTCATTAAAGTATTTCAAGTAAAATTTGTACTTTACATCGAGATCTGGATATTATTCATTAAACATTGAATGCATTTTTTTGACATCCAATCGTGCATCAAGATAATCTATGTCTTTTCCTGCATAATGTGTCTTTTTCCTAGGAAAGCAGAGGATGTGTTCGTGTATTTTTTGGCATATTTCAGGAGGCACTGTATTTGCTTTCGGGTGGCATCCTCTCTTATCTATTGGACTCTTCCCTTCATTAAGCAAATCACAAAGTCTGCGAACTCTGGCTTCTGTAATTCCATACAGGCTGATAAATGCTTTCTTGCAGACTTTAACTTTATCAGTTTGTTTTAAAACATATAATTGAAAGGCATTTTGCCTCTGTGTAACATTTTCTTTTCGAGGACGCCTCTGTTTTTTATCTGACTTATCAATAAGTGTTTGAAGAAATATATCCTGCTCATTTTTGGTTGAAAAACAGTTCATTTTTGAAATGCAAAAGTCCATGTCATCTTGATTGAAATTCGCAAAACATTCCTTCTTACATCTGCAATAATTAAGCGATATATTAGGTTTATATAAAAAAACGTAAACTGAATAAAGGTTTATGGTAAACTTGCCTGCAATTTTCACCAGTAGATCTTGGAGCTATTTGTTTTCCTCGATAATTAGTATGTGCCTGACCTTTAACTTTAGAATTTTTTATAACATTCCTTTTATATTTTGTAGGATTACACGTTCTCTTCTTTTTCGGCTCACCATCACTCTCAGTTTCACTTGAAGACATTTTTTAAAGCAAAAATTACTTTTCTCTTAAAATAGTAAAAGACAAGTAAAGTTCAAATGACAATAATGGCGATGGTTTACAAAAATTTTAATATTGTTGAACCAATCAAAACAAAGCAATTTTAAAATGTCAATCTCAGTCATAAACTACTCCTGCCATCTAGTGATGCATGCAAAAACCTCTTAAGTCATTGACTAATGTTGTTTAAGCAATGAACGTCTTTCACGCGGTATTATTAAAAGAGGAAGGAATGTATTGACTTAAGCTGTTTTCACCCAGAATACGCATCTACCTTTGAGGAAGCATTTTCAGCAAAAAAACGCATGTTGGAAAAAATGTGACTTAAGTGGTTTTTGAAATGCTTGATTATGATGAAACAGATAACTTTATACGAACCTGACCTTCTTGGAATGGTACCTATACATACACACACACACACACACACTACCTATCGTTTTATTTTTTCATTATTATTGTATAATTTTAAAAGAATACATTTAAATTTGTTTCTCCTTTATATTGTATACGAACTGACACATTTGGGGAAGTTCGTATCTGTCAACTGTAGATCTGGTCGCTGCAATACAAGACTAACTTAGCGCAGGGCCGTTACAAATAAGTGTCATATTGTTATTTTATGGTAATAAAGAATATTATTATTATTATTAATCGATTTCTGTCCAAAAAGTAAGTATATGAATGTTACCCGGTTGTTCCTGTGCCATTTGCGAGGGTCGCGGCGCGCGCCCGGATGATCGCCGAGCACGGAGCACCGCCTCGCCGCGCCGCCTGCGCCCGCGCCGCCGCCGCCCACCGAAAGCGCCGCCGCCTCCTGCCACGCCGTACGCCCAGCTGCGCACTGTTAATAATTACCAGAAAACGTATCACCATTAGATACCTACTATACACGTTAAATATTTATTTAGGTATTAACATAAAAATAATTCTGACTCACACTATCACAAGCAAATTGTATTAAAGAGTCATTTTTAAAATTAAATAAATTTTCTCTCATCTTTATCTCTTATTTGTTACATTTGGACTGAGATCACCAATTTTTTGCACTTAGATGTCTTTATTAGTCCATTGTACGTGAAAATTTGGCTGATATTTGAAACATCAATATTTGTTTGCCATTGGATTAGGTGGGGTAGGTAGATTATCATTTTCTGCACTAAGACGCCTTTATTGGTCAATTGTACGTGAAAACTTGGCTGTTTTGTCTGTTTACCCTTTTTCCAATTATTAATTTTGAGTCCACAAAATAAATCTCTTCCAGACATTTCGTACAACCGGCATCTCCACACTCCTTTCTTACATATTTTATCTATCACAAAATCCATCGTTACGTTAAAACAACATTCTTGGTCATTCTTTAATAATGCAAATCACATCTAGACATATGTTCATAACAAAATAACATTTTGCTTCTCAATTTGTGGCAAAACAAAATTTAATTTACTGTTACGGCGAATTTCGTAACATCTCAGAATTAAATAATAAATTATCAAACTATACATAGTTACGAGCAGTTTGTATGGAAAAATAAAATTATTACACATACAATTTTACTTGAAATTTCTTCAAATCCCTTTTAAACCTACTATGAAATTGCTCAATGCTTAAAAATTCATCGTCATCGTTACTCCGAGATGAGACTAGAACCCTCAACCTTTCTCATTCGCAAGCATTGGGAATGCAAAATTGATCAAATACTTATAATAATAATATTTGAAAACAACCAAACCAAATCGCTCCAACTTCTCGAATTAAAGCTAAATCACCGTCACGCTAACTATCGAGAACTACAAATCTATGGAGATCTCTTACCGTATATGCAGCGTTCACAAAAATAAACGCCCTTGGAAGTACTTCTTTTTAGTAGGATAAAAATCCTTTTTAGTAGGAGAACCTTTTAGTAGGATAAAAAAGTAGCATATATGTTAATCCAGACTAAGAATTGCTTTTTTACCCACTTAAAGGTTCTCTAGGGATAGAAGTACTTTCAAGGGCGCCTATTTTTGTGAACGCTGCCTAAACGGCAAAATATATACCTAGGTACGTATGCTTTCTAAAGCAAAGTTAGAGGTGGCATGGCATGCATCTATGTGCTAAGATTTTTCCACAAGCATAGAAAAAACTTCTTAAAAGTGCATTTAAATATTTAGTCCGTCATTAGACGTTCATTTGATTTGGTGATGTTGAATCCTTATCGAAATAAATATGCTTATCGTCAAAGACATTTAGCGTAAATGAAAATTATCTTTTACACCAAATCAATTGGATGAGTAGTTTAGATTTTACTAACTACGATGTTTTTGAGAAAAGAAAATAACACACGCTGCCGATTTTCTAAATACCATTTCGTGTCTATTATGATTTAACAGCTTTTTTACGTGTTTCGATAACTTTTTAAATATTTATTGGGACTGTAGTAATGATTTTTTTATTTCTAATAATAATAATTGAAGCAATGATGGTTAAGAAAGTGTTTAGTTACAAGAAACATATATTCAAGATAATACTGGCAGTCTACATACCCAAGAAAATTATCTAGAGTAGTATTACAACTTTTGTAATATTGTAAAAGGATGAAAAATTTTGCGTTGAATGTATTTTTATTAACTTTAATATCAATTAAATCGAAACCAATTGCTTGACGCGGTAGGAGTGCTGGAAACCATAATACACAGACTAGGCAGAATTTATGGGCACTTCATTCGACACGATGACTTTTTTAACCAGACTATAAGCAAATATAATCTAATGACAAGTAAAAATATTATTGTGATACTATCGAGAATCATTTAGAAACGCAAGGAAAATATTTCGAATCCCATCTCAGAATACCAGAGACAAAGTGGGCCTTTTAAGCATTTTTCAATATGAATATTTTCCAGTATAGCATTTTAATGCAAAATTGATAATAATAAAAAAGAATTCTAATTATTGAAATAAAATTTGGGTGAAAGAGAGCTTCAAAAATAATTTTCGAGTAAGTAATTACTTGTAGGAAAACCTTTAAGATTATAATATAATTTTTAAACCCTAAGCCTGGCAGAAACCGCTTTAAGCGATAAGGTCGCCAACCGTTACATAATTTCGTAGAGCTGTTTTAAATTTGTATTTATAAATTGTGTAATAATAACAATAAATAATTTTCTATTTTATTCTTGCCTACAAATTGGTTCACATTTTTACTTTTTATTTTTACAGTAAACTAGCTTTCCGCCAGCGCCCGCGTGGTCTTGTATTATCACAGAATCACCCTATCGATTAAAAAAAACCGCATCAAAATCTGTTGCGTAGATTTAAAGATTTAAGCATACATAGAGATAGCGACAGAGAAAGCAAGTTTGATTGATACTATGTAGTGAAGAGTGCTGTTTTCAATTATGTAAATGACTGTTATAAATCACGAATTATAAAAAAATATATATATCGATGTAATCGAACGTTGAACGTTTCGAATCAAAAAGCTATGTTTTGGCGTTTTAACAAAAAAAATCTTTATTACTTAGATTACAGAAACAGGAAATGATTAGTACAGAGAGTATATTACACCAAATGATATCTACATCTGTACAACATCTTTGTCGAGCTCTCTATGGCGACGTAATCGACATAATGTGGCATTTGTAATTTAAAACGTTTACAAAATTAGAATATTGAAATTAGAATATTCAATGAATATTGAACAAAGTCCCGTAAAACAAGCAAAAATATTTTCACATAAAAACATTTGGTTAAGGCATTTATATAAAAACAAGCCAGTTCATCCATATAAGCAACGCAAGTCACGATTCCTTTAGACACAAAATTGGAATATTATTATAGTCCGGTAGTGGATTTAGATGGGCTTCGTCGATATTTCATATTCGAAAAGGCGGAAATGTCGACTATAATAGATGCTCATAGAGTACTCATAAAGATACCTCGTTATCAAAAAAAGGAGGATGCTATCAGTTGTTTGATACTTATTTGTTCTAATACGACAATGCTTTAGGGAATTAATGATCCTTTGATAGCGCAGTGGATTTGTGTTCTGTCTATGACGCTGAAGTTAAGGATCTTAAGCAACTTTTTATTAAATCGAGCTCTTCCGTGCTTTAGAAGATACTATAAACCCTTAGTCCCAGCTGCATCTGCAATAATTAACACCCAACCATCTGCGTGTTGGGTCATGGTCCATTCTTCCTATTTGATTCGATTATATGATCTAGCTTGGTAGCGTAGTGGATAAGCGCCGCAGCCCGCGATTGTGGTCGTTAAGCAACTTTCGCAAGGGTCGGTCACGGGATGGGTGACCAAAAAATTATTATCTCGAGCTTCTCCGTGCTTCGGAAGGCACGTTAAGCCGTTGGTCCCGGCTGCATTTGCAGTCGTCAATACCCTCCAATCCGCATTGGGCCAGCGTGGAGGGTCATGGTCCATCCTCCTTAACCATCCATAAGGAAGGCCTGAGCCCCTGCAGTGGGGACGTAAAAGGGCTGGTGATGGTGATGATGGTGGTGATAATATGATCTATGGTTCCATCCATGCCTGAAGCCTGAGCCGCAAGAATGGGGACATTAATAGACTGGTGATATGATGTGATCTCATTCCTTTAGCATGATGTGGCCGCATCCGGCAGAATTTTTCAATTTTGTATGATTTACTGGTATGATTTTGAAAATAATATTTATTGTAATTTTCACTAGTGATCTTAATAATAAAAAAAAATCCTTATAACATTAGAAAAGAATATTTTACAGTTTGTTCCTGGGACTTTGAGATGGATGGATGGAGAATATTTTTCGTTATAGCATTGTGAATGAAGTTGTAAAAAGAACATGTATAACTTCTCCAGAAAATAAAAACTATTGCAAAAAAAATACTGTCTTGTAAGTTAATATTATTGATTTTATGTAACCAATTGTAGAGCCTTTTAATCACTAAGCACTTAGAGTAATAAATAATATCTACAGGTTTTTACAGCCCTAAATAAAATACATTTATTTTCAGAAAACCCTTACAGTTATAGTTTATTTTTAACATTTTGTAAATCGCGTTTAAACACTTTACCAAATTCGCAATTTTCCCAATCGTTATGAACTTAATTTTTAAGACACTAACGTTCAGTTGCACAAACGTTCATATAGGTTTAGTGATGCCTTTAAGCTCTAATGAATGTCAAAATTGTATGGATAATTGGTCAGTTGCGCAAACGTCCATTAAGATTTAAACACGCCTTTAAGCGCTAATGAATGTCAAATTTGAATAGGAAATGTTTATTTAAATTAATGACATTTTAAATAGACGTTTGCGCAACTCGCTGTATGTCACTTTAAACTAATGAAAATTTTAATTGTTGTTTGTGATGTAAAAACCGATTGGAATTTGACATTTTTATATAACCTGATGCACAGTTGATTGTACAAATAATGTAGTTATTACTAGTGTTTAATTTTTTGGCGCCGAAAGAATTTAAATATTTTAATATTATTTGGTAAAGATGTATGGGAAATAATATTCATAATATTTCATTAGGCTTTTGGTATCAATAAGATGATTTAACTTTTTCGATAAATGTTTCATCGCTACATAGGAACAAACATTCATAGACTGATGTGTTTATCAACTTTTCGGTCAGTTGCACAAACTTCCATAAAGTTTTATTGAAGCCTTTAAGCCCTAATTTTAATACACGTTGGTGCAACTGACCGTATGTTGTTTACCCATATACATTACCCTCCTTTGCGATACGCAGTCGGATAAAAACTGTTTTTACCGCGCAATTCGTCATCCTCTGTCTCTATATATCTAATTGCCGAGTGCAATAAATAGACAAGGATAGATTTTTTTGGTTTTACATCCCCTCATAAGATCTTAAAACCTAGAGTGCAATACGGTGTATCTCTTTTGTTTTCTATCATAAGGTCCTATTTCGTTTGTTCCAAGATAATGAAAGTGCCCGAATATTCCTGTTTCCACATGTTTAATATTCTATATCTTTCTTTACGATTAATCAGTTTTATATTCCTTTAATCTGATGAAAGCATTAACCATTCGCTGTCTCAGAAACTCCATAATACGGGAACATTAACTACTCATCTTAGAATCTTTGTCAATGTATGTGGGGTTGTCATTTATTTATTCATTTTAATTTATTCAATATATATATCGACGCTAGAAAGCAAACACGTAGAAACCCGCAAAATCAAAATGGATATTTAAAGTGGAAAATCTTTATATTTAAAATAAAAATATCTTATTTCCGTATAAATTGACTAAGGAACACCTTATTTATTACCATGTACGTTTATGAGAATTATTTATCGAAAAGAATATTGATTTAAACATCTAACTGGTTCACCCGTAGACACGGTTAAAGAGGGCCTGAAAAATAACTATCTCAAACGCAATTGTATTTATTTATAACACTTATCTAATATCGCATTCACACGCGTTATACTAATACGAGTCTTTAGTGTAAGCGCTCTGATATCAGATCCTGTGAACACTTCAGATATCAGATAATTCTCTGTCCGGGCATACCTCTGTTGCATGTTGGCATAATAGCATTGTTAAGCAAGGTGAGTAATGCTAATTTGATTTTTGCAAACATTATAGTTATGCGAGCTTAGACCGTAAATATAGGCGTGCCACACGACATATTTTAATCCATGCAACCGGCTGACTAGGTAATTAGTGTTATATTATCCATGAATATTAAAGTACCTTTCAATAAAATTTTCAATTGGAAGGAGTTTGACAGAGCAACTGTTATAGAACTCATCAATTGTGGAGATTTGGAGCCGTTACCAATCGACATAAAGTCCGGTGTGACGGACACTTATTTAAAATAAATCCTGCCAAGTTTTTATTTCATGTTCATCGATTTCTAATCATTTAAATGTTTATTTATACCATAAACAAATAGTAAAAAAGAAGTAATAATTGTGGCAACATTGCATATGTCAGTTGGGACCCAAAATGTCTGCGAAAAGGCGGCCACCTTTTTTGCTCAAGGTATTTATAATTGTTTTTCTTATTTTTTTGTGGAAAAATGAATTGAGTTATAGATTTATTTATTGGTAATAAACATTTCAATAATTATTTACAGAAACATGCGCACTTTATTACATTTTTATGGTGTTTATTTGTAACTAAAATGTTTTGTCCGTCACAGCGGACATTGCTAATTGTATAGAAAAGTAATACTTTATTACTTTGTCCGCTGCGGCGGACAACGCCAAAATGTGTGTGCTTCTGCTTGTTTGGTTATGGCTCTGAGTTTGTTTTTTTTTTCTTTGCCAACAGCCTAATTGCGCAAGTAAAATTATTGCTTTAGTGCCGAATGAACATGCACCTTCCGATGCTAGCGAAATATCAGATTCGGAAACTGAATTGCATGATTGTGCAAGGCAAACAGGTCGGCTACAAGAAAACAGACTGAATCCGTCAAAGTAAAGAAACCGCATGCACCCCGCCCTTTGAGTCCATTAAAATACGACAATATAGGACATTTCCCTTCGACCATGGAAGAAGAACGCTGCAGGTTCTGTCAAAAGAAAACTGTCGTGTATTGCATAAAATGCAACACAAGATTATGTTTCGTGACAGAAAAAGACCCCAGAAATTGTTTTTTAACTATTCATACAAAATAAACTGTACTTCGGTATCAATTAGTTCTAAAATGTTCATTTCTGTATTTTTCTTTGTAAAAATAACTAAAATACTTTGTAAAAATAAAAAATAACTGTTTGTTTTTATTTTCCGTAGTTTGGCAGTGTCCGCCTCAGAGAACATATAAATCTGACCATTAATTTCACAGTAATTGGCAAGGTCCGCTGTGACGGACACCAGTTTTCCCAGCAGTGGGCTATTGTAGATTTTTTTTTTCATTTTTCTAGAACTTTATGACATACTCCTGAAACCACAAAATTGTCAAATTCATATATTTTGAATATTTTTATTCTAAATATTAACAAGACAAGACAAAATTTATAAATATTAAAGTCACTTCTGCTTCTGAATTGTAAATTGCAGCTTGACTTCTTGTTTCGTATGCGGAGCCACTTTTCTTTATAAATCAGTAGCTTTAGTGCAAATATAATTTAGAAATACTTACTATATGAGATTTCACCGTCTTCGACTTATAATATTGTTTTTATTACTCTAGTAATTCTACCTTTATTTTCCTCGATAAAAAAATAATATTTAATAATATACTTGAAAAAAGACGTGTTATCTCATAATTATTTTCTTAAAATAATGAAGAAATCCTGCAATAACGGGTTTTATTAAGCCTTTACAATTTCGTGAAATATTTCTTTAATGATTTTTTTCAAGCGAAATAACTAGCGCAAATTACATAGGACGAAGCCGTTTGATAGAGAAGGTAATTTATGTGGTCATTAAATAATGATTTGTTACAAGAAAAAAATACTAGAACCTATTTCGATAATAACATTGCCATTATAATATCGTAGACTGTAAGCAATAGTATCTACCAATAAACCATAGCAGCAGAAAAAATAAATTATAAATAGGAATGATGCCTACAAAAAATCTTTTCAGTGCGTCATTCGGATAATAGAACAATATATATAATGAAGAGATACGTATTTTTTTGCTTCGATTTCACTAGAAATTGCTTAAATAAAAGGCTTAAATAAAGTTGAGGAGTGCCCTCACTACGTCAAAAATATGTAGAAAATGTACAAAAGTGTGACATTATGCGGCATTTCGATTCAATGTCTCAATGTTATTTATTTAAAAAGAAAAGTTTAATATTCTCCTCTAATTTCATTCTCCACTAATGACGGACAGACTAAAATATGATAATCTCTATTACTATTATATTTAGCTGGAAAAAAAATACATTACTTTATAGAGTTGAAGGCACGTCATATGTTCTATTTTTACCTTACTTATTGCCCTACGTAGCACCTTTATTATGTTAACATTAGTAAAATATAGGCCTTGTTTTGTGTCCTTTTTATTATAGTGGGTATGATTTTAAATATTGCTATTTGTGATCTTCAATAAGAACTACCTGTCAATAAAGCCAAAAAATCTTCTCGCCTCTCCCCCCCTCATCCTTGTTATCTTCGTCCCGCATAATTATCATTTAAGTGATATTAATACGAGTAATTAAGTTCAAAAGTAATCGCAAAAACTAACCTCTTCAAAAGAATATTTACATTTGCAAAATGTGTGCATTATCAAGATCTTTTTTTAAATGGCATATTAAAAAGTAATAAAACAGTATATGAAATTGTCCCATAGGAATAACTGCAGATAATTTTATTGATATTCAGCGAACAAAAAGCGCTACGAAGAAACAGCAAGTTGTTGCTAATAGAGATAGAGATAGAGTAAAAGATAAATAGTTTCGTATTGTTTTCAAATAAGGTCGAATTTAGATAGTAATACGAATGCTTCTAAGAGTTATATAACCAGTGCAAGTAATATATATACCAGCAGAAATCGAATTGTAACATGAACAATAAATATCAGTGGGTTAGTGTTGACACTGTGAATTATTGGGAGCTTTTTCTCGGTATCTAAGTGGAAAATAATACGATTGAGTTTTTCTTACCTTTAAGTTTTTGGTTTTATACGATACTTTGATTAGGTAAAGCCATTCGATTTGATCTATTATTTCCCAAATCCATGATATCTGTATTTTCTACTGTATGCACATATAGATCTTAGTCCGAAAGAGGTGTCAGACACATTCAAACTTATATCAAATAAAAAGAAGATTTATTTGTTTGCTTGCATTGAATAATCTTTGATGTGTTTGTATGAGTCACATCACATGACACCTCTTTCTGTTTAAGACCTATATGTCCATAATGCAGTAGAAAATTCACAAATCAATGGAACCTATGCTCCAAAAATACTGCATTATTTTAAAATATTCTATCTCGGGAAGTTACATCCAATAAGGTTGATATATGCTATAATTAAAACAGGCAAAGCCGCCGTGAAACAGCTTATTAATATATAATCGTCTATTTCATCAATTAATAAATTGAGTCAAAGTGTAAACTAGAATGCATTTTAAATCTAAATCCATTATACGTAACTCCTCTGACTTTTTCGTCATATTATTCGGCAAATATACACATTATTACAATACAATATAAATTACAACATTTATTATCTTTATTTAATTATGAGATGTTTTAATAGAAAAGGAAATTCCTACGTTTATATTTTTTAAAACAAATAAATCTGCAATTATCTCATAAATACTTACTGAATTTAATAAAAGTTATTGAAGCATCGAATAGTGTTACTCTGTATTTATTAAACAAGAGTAAACTTCGAAGAGATTAGAACAGAACAATCCGTTCACGTTTACAACGAGATCAGCAAACGATCAAAATCTAGTTTCGGTTTTCGGCATTCGTCTTTCATTCGGGAACGTAAGCCGACGTCGAATGCGCTTAATCGAATCAGCGTGAACATTAGCTGGTGTAGACGTCATTTAGAATGTGCATTATTAAGATAGGGCAATAGTGCTATTGTCTTATAATTTAAAAAAAAGTAAAATAAATACTTATCTCAAAAGCGAACTATTCATGAAGAGGTTTTCTGTAGTTTATTAATTAAACGGTAGGCGCTAGGCGAATAAGTCGCCTATGAGATAAGTATGAAGTAAGTATTTTTTACTCTTTTTAACTTTGGAGTCGGTTCCAGTTGTTTAAAATTGTTATTTCATGCTTTTTAGTGATATTGATATTTTTTTACATAATAGGTGACTCTAACAATACTTTTCTGAAAACCGCGTCAGAATCAGTTCAGCTAAACGCGCCGGTAATAACAATATATACCTGCAATATAGCCCCTGCAGTGGAGACGTTAAAAGGGCTGATGATGCTGATGATGATGGATGGAATCGAATAGGTATACGCGTAGTGGGTAGGTACCACGCGGCCTCAGCCCCGATTGGAGGATTTTAATGATTGAAGATGCAGTTAGGACATAAAACAAGTAAATAAATTTGTTACAAAGGTGGGCTTATCTCTAGAAGAGATCTCTTCCAGCCAACCTAGGAGTCGTGGGAGAGTAAGATGTAAGCGGGTGATAGAAGTGCAGTTAAATTATATTACGGTTGTAAAAATAAATATATATAATAAATAACAAAAATAGATATATATAATACATAAAATATACACTACATATATACATACATATATACATACATATATAAGGAACGATGAAAGCTGTGTCATGAATACGAACATTGTTCCAGAACGTAGTCTTTAAGTTTAAATTTGAAACACATGATGGAAGGGCAATCCTGAATATTCAAGGGAAGTCTGTTCCATAGTTGAACACCACGAACAGAAAAGGATTTGAGGCGGAAATTGGTGTTACATTTAGGTAGCTCAAGAGATTTGGTGACGCAGGGACGCCTAGGATGGTAAGGAGGAGGAAGCTTCTGGAAACGGGAACTAAGGTATTGGGGTGAATTAGGATCTTTAAGGATTTTAAATAGGAATGAAAGGATGTGCATATCACGGCGAAGACGGATAGGAAGCCAGTTCAGTTGAGCACGAAAAGCA